TCCCGCCAGATGGCCCACAATCGCCGCAGCGAGTGCGTTGGTTTTCTGGTGCCACTTCCAGGGAATGGTAAGGGGTGGTGCTGGAGCCTGGTCTTTAGACTTTTCTCCGTGAAGCACTCAACCACATCGCGGCCATTCAGCCGGATCTGGGCCTTAAACACATACAACCACCAGCGTTGTTATCAACAACGCGGCTAAAGGCTGTTCCTCCCTGCCAATTTTTTTCCGAAAAGGCTCGAAAGAGTCGAAAAGATTAGCTTTCATAGCACGAAGTCGTGACTGCATATGGTCCTTGGCTTCGTTTAGGTCACTGCAAGTTCCGTTTGTCAGTCACTCAAGAAAAACCAAAGCTTTTGTATATTTTTTCAGGGGTTGGGGCTAGAGAGGACGCCAAAAACTTTAGATGACTTCCCTTCACTTAAAAAATATAGCTCCAGTCCACCAGATCCAGATTTCGATTAGGACTATCCCTATAGAAACTTGCTTTCCTCTGTCCTTTAGCTTTCTTGCGGCTCAAAATATGTTAAAGCTTTTCAAAATCTCGACTCATAACTTAGTATCACATAAGCCGAATGAATCCCAAATCATTCAAATGTTTACAAGTTTCGATATTTGTAACACTGATACCACCAGCAATCGCCTATAAAAGGCTAGAACCTAGTAGGTTCAAGCATTTACTGTACCTGACCATCTCGATGTCTGCTGCTGCTGTCTCCTCAAGGAAGGCTGCCCCAAGGACAAAGGTTGCTCCAAAGACCAAGGCTGAGGGAGCACCAAAGCCTGCTCCTGCTCATCCGACCTATGCTGTCATGGTCGCCGATGCGATTGAACAACTCAAGGAAAGATCTGGCTCATCCAAAACTGCAATACTGAAGTACATGACTCAGCACTACAATCTGGGCGACAATGTCACCATGGTAGGTCAACAGGATGGCCACTTCAAGGGACAGGACTACCGTATTCCAGATAAACGTTCATGTGAAACGTGCAATCACGCGAGGGTTGGCTAAGGGAGAGCTGCAACAAGTGACTGGAATAGGAGCCTCTGGAAGCTTCAAGCTGGCTCCTGGTAGCAAACAAAAGAAGCCAGTCTCACCGAAGGAGAAGAAGGTGCTGGTTCTTCTCCAGCAGATTCTCGTCCTATTCCTTACTGTTTAGCCAATCGCCAAGAAGATCACCGATCAACCCAAAGCTCCAAAGAAGATGGCTACAAAACCTGCGGTTGAGAAGAAAGTGAAGATCGTTGACACTAGTGCTGCCCCTAAGGCAAAACCAGTCAAGGAGCCCGTTCAGTCTAAGCCTAAAGCAAAGAGAAGTGTGAAAGTTACGAAGAAGCCCGTCTCTTCCGCTAAGGCATAAACTTTGATCCCATTTACTGACTTCTTCTACTGATTATTAGATGTATATACTTACAAAATAAATAGAAGCAAAAAGCAGTGGTAAAACATGCATGGGACGAGCTGCTCATTGTCAACGATAGAGCGATGTATCAGTGAATTAGTTAATGAAACGCTCGGGCAGTGTTCTACGGTTAGACCCCGAGAATCAGTTTCCATGTTTGATTCTCATTTGCCTAAATTATCCTGGAAAGTGCCTCGAATTGACGCACACGAGCGGTTCTCGCAACCGCTAAAGAGTTGGCGTTTGCTCAAAATGACCAGAAACCACTGAATTATAATGCACAGTCCATAACAATATAATGAAGGCAAAGTTAAAATTTGACTTTCATAACCATTGCATCGCCTTCTTCACGGGACCAGCCTAACTAGAAGAGAAGTTCCCAAAGTATCGCAAATGTTTCACTTCTAGGGTCTGCTTGTTGAGTTGAATACATGGTGACGTGGGGAGCATAGACTTTGGTTGAAAGCTACCCTTATTTGTTCTGTCACCAAAATTTGAAATCTTCAGTAAACAATCCCATCGAATTCGATGATTTTGTAATTAACACCATCCATCGTCTAGATTGTCTGGCATCGAACAAACTCGCTCATGGGTGCATCCAACATGCCTAAACTTCGAAGATGCTAGAAAAAAGAGAACCAAACGCAAATTCACGTGACACATTTTTGAAACTTCAGCACTTTCGCGGAATCTCAAAATTTCCTCCTTACACATCGAGGATTTTCCAAAGTGTTTCTCAAGCATTCTGACGAGGAGAAGGATTGGGACAGAAAAGGATGAGAGCTATCAGAATCATATGCATATTTTATTGAGCACCGCACAGATTCAAAGAAAGCGTAGGAACTCACCTAGCAGATGAAAACAAGGTAAATCCTATACCGCTCGAGACATACAACACAAGGATTGATTGGAAACTCAATGGTATTTTTTTAAACTTTCATTTTTTGGTTTCGCGAACTCCCAAAATTGGCACTAAAGATCGAAAATGCTACTGACAGAGAACTGCTGCCGACAATTGAGGAATACTCCTGCATTAATGTACTGCTGCCGATAATTAGGGAATATTAGGGAATTTGGGAAAAAGACTCCCCCCCCCCTCCCCTCAACTCCTGCATCATTAATGCAGGAGTTGAGGGGAGGGGGGGGGAGTCTTTTCATAACATTGGGGACTTCGCACTTAGTCTTTGCAACTATCTCACACTTATTTCACACTTCTCGATCCACGCACAAAGAGGAGAGGGGGAGGAACTTTTCAAACAAAACCCCCTGATCATGTTGAACTTTTGACGGTATGCCAGGATGCTAATATATGAGGTCGTTCCATAAGTTCGAAGCGTTTTCATAAACCAACAAAATCATCAATTTACAGTAAAAACCAGTCAGTTACAGTCAAAGTTATATCCTTCATTGTAGCGCACGACTTGTTGGAACATTTTTGTTAGCATCTCAATCTCAATTTTCCAAACGGCAACGCGATGGGTCTGAGGAAAGTCATCTAGCCATCGCTCAAACTTCTTTTTGAAATTGAGACATGCACCATTCATGAGGTTTGCTAGACAGCAGAACAAATGATAATCTGATAGAGCGAGATTTGGAGTGTACTTTGTATACTACTGTAACTTCCACTCAGATCATTGCAGAACAGTTTTGACGACGTTTGCCGTATGAGTCCCTGTTTTGTCTTGCAGAAAAACTCACTGGATCTGTCTATTAGGATTTTTCTGCCGTAGGACCTGGTCTAGACGGTGCAGTTGGATTGCTTACGGTACGGTTGACCATCGCCTACCTGTACAGCAATTCTCAGTGCAGGACGTCCTGACCGTCCCCCGAAAATCTTGTTCAGGGACACCCTGCTCAGCCCCTGATTTTTTGAAGCAATCCAATCCTTTTCGTCTTATATCGATGTGCGAGAGGCGTATTCCATAACCAATTGAAAAATCTGTGCAAAAAGCTTCTTTTCATAAGGAAAAATGCGCAAATGCCGAAATTGCTCTTTCTTGCCTATCAAGATTTCCAACTTTGGAAGGTACGATGTCGGGATGAATCAGCTCTCCGCCGAAATTAACAGACATGTTTTAAAGAACACAATCAGCCATTCCTCATGATATACGCATCCTGCCGCAAATCAACCGCTCCTCAAAGGTATGAGGACGAAAATGAAAACGCTACGAACTTATGGAACGACTTAATAATAATACAGAGTGTCCGTTACAGTGTTTCAAAAATAGTTTCCAATAAAATTTGAAAAGTGATGTACTAAGGTCTTCAAGCTTGCTGATTTTATTATTCAACTTTTGGTGTATTCACGATTTTATGGAGTCCTGTAAAAACAGCTATTGCAGTCTCTATCTGGCATAACTTATAAGGGAAAAATTGCGGTAAAGTGCAAACATCATATTTGGTTGTATTTGGCTTCAGTTGGCGTAGCATAAGTTCTCTTGTTGTTCGGCTTGCTTCCTAAGGCAAAATAAGGGCCTTGATGGCTCACAACCTTTCTTGAATTTTTACCGTATTCCTACAGTAATGAAGAGCAAACGGTGATTCGATCCATACTGTAAATTTGAGTTGAAGCCCAGCTCTATAAAATGGTTCTTAAAGGTAAGCAAAACCTTCTTGGGAAAAGAGAAATCAACCATCAAACAATGTATATACATACTTTTGGGACATCCTGTATTATGATCAGTCATCGATTACAATGGACAGAAAAGTCTTTCAGGTCATGCTAAAGGTTCGTATACAGTATGCAAATTTTCCATGTTAGAGAGTTTGCAAAAGAACGATTTACTTCGGTCCAAGAGTTAGAAGTCCCGTAGACTTCCACAGACTTTGTCGGTGAAGATTTGGTTTCTGCTGTAGCTGGTTTTGTGATTCAAATAGCATATCGAAAATAACAATTTTTATGGCCAGCAGGACATCAAACAGCACATAATATGTGTTTCTCCACGTTCTAAATAATTTGCAGTTTGTAAGGAGATGTAGTAGATAGTCCCGTGGCTTGTCTCGTTATTACGAATTAATTTGAAATGTTGAAGATAGTCTTTTGATAATGCAAGTGATATCAAACTCGTAAACATTTGGCTCAGTGTCAATCGAAATCTGTCAAACACAGCAATAACATCTAAAACCTAGCGCGCCAAAGCAGTTCGTTCTATTTGAAGGAAGCTCGCACATAGGAACCGCGGTTATAGACCGTATTCTCCCAGCCAGCAGGCCCAAATCTGGCATAGTGGTGCCACTTTGACTGGAGTGTTGCCAAGGTCAGGACGATGTGAAAGCAATAGTGTGAAAAGTCTCTGTCCCCCCCCCCCCCCTCCCCCCGCCCCATCAATCACCCTTCCTACAGTATAGTATAGGCAGAGGTGCGGGCCTTTACACCTGGCCGTAGGTGCTAACACCTCGCACCTTGGAATTGCTCATTGTATGAAAAATCACCTAGGAGATGAGACAGCTATACGAACTCACAATGCAATAAAATTGAATCGAGTGAAAAAGAATGTTTCTGATGCCGTAATCTCGTGCATGTCTCCGCGTCATATTCCAACAGTTTCTTTTCGAAAACAAAGTAATGAAATCATTTATACAGACGAAAGTTTTGTGCTGATTGTGAGGTGCGACAGAATACCCGTGTTCGATTGTGCAAAATGCATTGTTTTCAAGTATGTACAATCTCGTTCTCTGCAGCTGTACCATTGGTGATCTGCGTAGACAACGTCAACGTCAACTTTCGATGAACCGATTTCACGGTTTTTCGAAAATATCGCGTCTAGAAAATGTTTCGTTGAATATTTTCGCCTATATAGGTGAGTTACAAGTCTTACCCAATTCTTCATCATAGACATAATTTTTCGATCAGCAACGGCATTGATTATGGGATCCAATATCATTGCTATCAACCTGAAATAGGGTTTTCGTAAATCATAATAAAAAATGAATGCTAAGTATAATTAGTATAAATGCTCACCATACGATAGCAGCTGTAGCTGCCAGTATTTCAACCTGAACGAATAATCGACCGTTCAAGTAAGTTTTGCATGGTGATTTTTCTCCTTCTCCTAAAGAAGTCAAAGAATTTTTAGCAACATTAATTTTTAGATTTTGTCCTCGGAATGTTTCAGGATGTGATATATCCCATTACGCACTTGCTAAATTTTGTTAGGGCCTACTAAGCCCAACATTTTCAAATTTCTGTATACCTTTCGGACAAATGATTTTGCGTTTGAGATGTTCCATTATTTTACAAGCTGAGTTGGTTTGGACGGATTTGTGCATGAAACAGCTCTCGCAATTTGAACTCAATAGATGTTATCTTATATATAAAGCTGAATGTCTGTTTGTCTGTCTGTATGTCTGTCTGTCTGTCTGTATGTCTGTCTGTCTGTACGTATTTTCCGAATAGAAAATTCCATTTCTGAACCGATCGGGAACAAACTTGACACACATACACTTCGGGCCCAGGCGGGTGTCACAGTCCACTTTTCGCTATCGATCGATAAAATCGACATCGATCGATAGCGAAAAGTGGACTGTGACACCCGCCGGGGCCCGAAGTGTATGTGTGTCAAGTTTGGTCCGGATCGGTTAAGAAATGGAATCTTCTATTTGGAACATACGGCGGAGCCGGGTAAGCCAGCTAGTTTTTTGTAATTTGCACGGCTCAGAAAAGTTGCGAAGAATTTTTTAAATGTCGATTGTCAGCTTTAATTTAGATGATTAATTTATAGGCATTTACCATGAGAAGATTCTATAGATGATGACACGAGATATTTGGGAATCTTTGTAAGGGCAAAAATGATTCATAATAAGACGACAATTTGTAATCTACGTTTCGTTCCCGTTTCCTTCGTTATTATGCAGATGACTGACCTAACGAAGCGAGGCTTTTCAAATTTGCCAAAGCCACAATACAAACGATGAGTATGGGGACCGATCCAATGGCGAAAGTCATCATATTCATGCCAAGTCGGTTCATTGCTCGTATATGACTCTTTTGGCGCTCGTCATGACGTCCAGACTGTAATTAGATGAAATATATGCGGGAAAACGATTAATGTGCTTTGAGATGTTATAATGTTCTGTTCTACCAGGAAAGAAAAAGGATCTGAAAAAAATTTGATGAGATTTTTTTGTGAGAATGTACCTTTACGCTTCCGCCCAGTGATCCGCGCCGACGCAGTCGAATTTGTAATGTGATAATTAATATTGCATATATCCCCAAAACGGATCCATACGACAATGAAAGGCCAATTACTGAAATGAATTTTTTTCGATCATTAAGAAATGGAGACCATAAAAGGTAACCATAAAACTCTCAAACATCTTCGATCACGTTGATGATCGAAGATTTTGAGAATTTTATTCCTCAAACTCTTGATCTCTAGTAATAAAAGTGCCCTGGCAGTGCCTGGTCAAAAGAGTCGGATTTATTTTGGAAAATAAAAAAAATCCAAACGCTGACCGATTAGTATTGCCAACGGTTTTTGGCAACCTTCGTAAGTGCACGGTAACGGAGCAGTATCTGGGTAGAATAACGTTGCGCCCCAAAGTCCTACACAGGTCTAAAAATCACTTATCTTTGAAAACTGTAGAATTCAAGATTATTCTAAAACACTCACAGATGCTAACGATGAGATCAACCAGATCAGGAGAATCAACAAATAACACTTTCTGATGGTTATCTCTCTTTGGTAGTAGAAAGGATAAACGATTGCCGTGTAAAGCAGAACGGATAATGCTACGTAAGTACCTGGAATTAATGCAGTTATAGATAGAAGTAGGAGTTCAGACATAAACGAATCATTTTTTCCAGCTGTGAGTTTTAGTTGTACTTTTTGAACAATGTGTGATTTTCTTCTTTGGATTTTACGTCAAAGGGCAACCTAATACTTATTGTTGTAAAGAATCAAAAGCAATGTTAAAAATTTCTATCGTAAAAAATATACAGCGCAAAAATCGGCGGTCCACATCAATTTCTCATCGATAAAAAAATGTAGAATGTGAAATTCGCGAAAGGAAACTTTACCTGTAATTGAGAGAAAGTTCATACTTCCAAGTAGCATAAAAATCATAGTACTTGCATAGGCAAATCCTTTTGCTTGCCAACAAATAAGCACGACATATAGTAGGATGAGGGACATAATGGTACTAAGAGATCGGCTTATCAGAAATAAATACCTCTTCCTTGCACTGAAAGCAATATGGGTGACATCACACCAGTGAAAACACCAGTAGCGAAAACCAATAATAGCAACATACCTTTCATCTTCTCTGAAATATATTCGTAATTGCATTATCAAATAAATTATATTGAGTAGCATTGCTAAAACGGATAGGATTACAGGAACTAGGGTAAATCCATAGAATCGGAAATTTTTCGCTTTGTGTAGCTCCTAGAATTTGCCTTTGAGAAAATTTCAATATTCTTCTAACTCTTACTCTCAGAAGTTCGCATGGCGTATCCTCGGTGGTGATGTTGCACAGAGCGTATTTTCCATCCTTCCCCGGAATAAATTCAGCAGGACAGTCATGGAAAACTGGTGGAACAACCCTATTTACATAATCCGCATCAAGATGAAGCAAGTGAAGCACGCTGAAAAAGGAATTTATAAACTAGAAAACGAGATTGAAAAGCAAAATAATTTTTCTTCCAGTACAAATTACACTTTGGACCATTCTTGTTTCAAATCAGTTTCCATTTATTTCACCAGAAAGATAAAAAGTTGACAAATCTGATTTTGGCATTTGCTTCTTTGCATATTTTTTTTGCGTTGAGCTAGTCAACCCTAAACTGAAGTTGAACCCAGTCCTTATTGGGCAAGGGCTCTGCGCGATCGCGGGAGTTGGTGAGTTTGCGGCCATTGCACGCGCATGGAGATTTCTCGATTATCTTTGTTCTTTCAAACGCTTTCTGCCATAGCTTCCAATTACCTGAAGCAATTCTGAAAAGTAAGGGGCTGGAGTGGTTGAAGGCCTTGCGGCATCTTACGCGTGCAACGGCTGCAAATTCACCAACTCTCTCAATTACGCAGAGCCTTATACCAGGTGGCAGTACTATTAATCACGAATCGTAATTTCTGACGTAGATGGAAAGGTTTCCTCTGACAACACAAAAACCCGCAACTTCATGAGAATTAGTAATAATGAACTAATGACTTGAATATTAGTCACACTCTTTGTTACGCTAGACTAAATACGTACGTCATTTTTAGTACAAAAGAATTGGTGACGTTGAGAACTGCAAAAGTATGAAAGGTATGAATAAAATATATGCGAGGCTAGACTCTTACTTTTCACGTTTTAATAGTTCCCATATTCATAAGTAAAATAATTCAAAAAGTTCGCGTAAAATGAAAAGGAAGAGGACTCAGTAAGACTCACAAAGCGAAAAGATGCATTTATGACTATTATTACGGGATTTGGTGGTACAGATGCGGATGTAAACTCAGAGGAGTGCACAAGGATAATTGGGAGTGGTAATCGAACAAACAACATTTTGATACCCCGTCTAGTGAGTGCCCCATGAAATAAAACTGTGGATTATAGACCAAAAAAATGGAATGCAGCGGACGTAACTCCCTCCTGTAAACATACGTATTTGAACGAGATTCGATGCACACTGACGTTTAAATTTTAGAATTTTCAAAAATTGATGAGCCGCGAAAATTTGGACAAGGTCAATACAAGATATTAAGTGTTCTAGCCCAGCGAAGATTTTGAGCAAGAGATCCAGCTTTTTGCTTCCGATTGCCGATTGATTTCGCTTTTATCCTTATAGCAGTAACCAATCAAAATGCACAAAAATTACTCTTACTGTGTCCCATAACATCACAGGGCTTCAAATGTGAAATACTCTATGAAACACTCTTAAAACAAAAAATAAAATTGATATTAACCTTCTGAGCGCAGATGGAGGCATGTACGAGTTTTGTCCGAGAATCACAATAGATTCGAGATTTGAATGCGCTCAGCAAAGCAATTTGTATCGCATCCACGATTACTGAAATAAGCACATTCTAATCTCCCATACCCCTTAGAAGTGATGGAAACAGTCCCTAGCTAGACGGGTAAAGCTTAAATCTGAAAGGTTCAGAAAGATTTACGTTTGTTGTTGTCTCATATCTGTAGCAAGGAACGCAGACTGAGCTGCGGATCAAAAGTAAACGAAGCATTAGGAAGTAATGTTTATTCTATTCCTACGCTGCTTACATAATGTTATAATATTATAAATAGTTCTCTAGGCCAAGCAGTAATTCAAAAACTGGATGACTGCATAGGAACTGAAGCAACGATGCTCAATACATTATTTCAACTTTCGTGTGAAAAGGGTATCTTAATCCTCTTAACGCGAATAATCAATCTATAAATTTTGCGTTCACATGGTCATGAGCGAAAAGGAATGGACACAACGAGGATGTAAATTATTGAGTGTAAATATGAAAACATTTTAAAAAGAGTAGGTACGTTATCTAAGCAGGAACTTGCCTTTGTAGTGGAACCGCAGTCATCGTAACACCATTCGAGGGACACCTCAAATGACATGGGATATAAGAGAGCAAATTTCGATTTCACTGAATGATCGACTCGAGGCTCATATAGGAGTAAGTTACGAAGAGAAAGTTGACGTTAACTATGAGTATTGCGAAACAACTGTAATATAATATCGGGGTCCAATCAACGTATGCAAAATGAGGAGTGAGCAATAAAAGTACAGTCAAAGTACAGTTTGTTGAAGAGTAGAGAAGGTATGGAGAGGGAATTGCTCCAAGT